CAACCCTGAAAAACATGTATGTTGAACAGGTAGACAATAAATTAAAAAAAAAAAAAAGAACGGCCCTCACGCCAACAAAGAGAAAACTCTCCTTTGGCTGCAACTCCGTGTGTATATTCTGCGAATCTTTTGTTTCATGAAAATATGCACAATGTAAAAGTGTAAAACCTCTAGAGTACTAAATTTTGTATGTAAAACTCAATGGGCGATTCGCATAACACTGAATAGATCCATTGCTCAAATTGCTTAATGTCCATTTGTTGTACTTTTACTTTCTCGCATTAAGAGAAAGTGTTGTGATCGCACGTAGGAAATCAGCGTTTTTTTAGAGAAAAATTGAGTTGGTGAAACTTGGAAAAAGTGAATAAAAAGTAGTTTAATAAATAAATAGTTTATTATTCGTTTATTACGTTGTGCCCTCATAATCTATGTTTTTGTAATCCTTGATACCGAAAAATCGATCAGCGGCAAAAGATTGCGTCCGTGCGTCCGTCCGTCCGCCCGTCCTTCCGTTCTCTGTCTGACTTGGTCAACGCTAGCGCCTAAACCATTCAACACAATTTTTTTCCGAATTTGATGTTTTCCAATCGATTTCAACGAACTCGAAGACTTCTGAGTGAAATTTCTCAAAAACTCAAAATTGGCTCAAATTTTTTTCCTTAAATCTTCTTCTTGAATATCTCAAAGAACGGAAATAAATGGCGCGAGTTCCATTTTCGGCGCACTCGCTGCGTTTCCGAAAATTGCAAAAAGTGAACATTGTAAACGTAAAATAATGAAGAAAAAGATTTTTGTCTTAAATGAACTTTGTTCTAAAAAATCAGAACATCAAAAAAGGTCATGTTAATTTTTTTTAAAAAAGGGAAGTTTTCACATAATTTCTGCATGAAGTTAATGTAAATTATAAAAAATATTTTCGCAAAACCCCTACAAATTTAAATTCTTTGCTCGAATAGAACAAAAAAGAATTAAAATAATGGCGTAAGTCTCGTTTTCCTAGAACTATGAATTTTTGAAAAGTTCCAAAGTTAGAAATAATGCAAGATAGTGTGCTGTTGTAGCGCTACTAGTTCAAACTGACACATTACATTATATCTATTACTTATTATATTACTAATTTAAATAAACAATATTTTTCCTCAACAAAAAGTTACGAAATTTCTGAAAGTACTAAACGAGTGTTTGCATGTAGATTTTACTAAAAACTTCTGAAGTTCATGACAGTCATAAAATATACAACTCCACAGTTTTGT